CCCCAAAACCCCAAAACCCCAAAACCCCAAAACCCCAAAACCCCAAAACCCCAGCAGGTTTAAAAGCCATTGGAGCAGAAGAAAAATTTACTTAAATTATTTATACTGGTTTAAATCTAAAAATGATTCATGTGGTTACTTCCATAAGTACTCTTACTAATCCCAAGCCCATTGGGTCTGAGCTCCAACCCTTCTATCTCAGCTAGCTTCGTAATAGAAATTGAAGGAATCCGTGCTGAAGCTGGGAGTTTTCACTCTGGAGGAACTTCAGCTTTAAAGGAGAGAATGGTATACATGAATCAAAGTGCTCTGAGAATAAATTTAGACATAGGTTATTTGAGCAAATTATTAAAATACTAATTAGTAAAGTAACACTCTATTTCTGTTAATAGCTTGGCTTCTTCGTACTTCGGGAGTTCTTATGAAGGATACTGGATATTGCTGATTGATAGTTGCTAATTTTCCCTATATCAAAGATATTGCATTGTTTCAATGGAGGAAAATTTACTAGAACTCGCTTATATTGATATCAAACCGAGGACTTGGCATAAAAATACCATTCTTGCTTAAAATTACTAAAACCCTGAGATTCTTACCACGAAAGGCATCATTCCATTTGATGTTTGTCACGGCTATAATAATATTTAGATTCCTGAAATACAGTAATCCACATAAATTTAAGCAAAAAGAAGACAACTGAAAATTCTTTAACCTCTACTTACTAATTCCTTTAGAAGATTTCTTCTCTGTCATCATTTTTAAAGGGGTCTGGGCTATTTTATTTTGCATTGGCTGGAACGCTCCAGAGTTCATCACCCCATTTTGAAACATTTTTGGGGAAGATACCTTGTTCTTCCTGCTTCTAATTTTCTTTGAATTATTTTGGCCTATATTCAAAGCTAAGTTATAGCTAGGACATCTTTTAATATCCAGAGAATCTAAAGTAGCTGTTTTAGTAGAGATAAAGCACCAGCAAGGTCTGAGAAGTTATTGCTTACATCAATCAAGATTGCATATTCGCCTTCCCTGATATTGGGAAAGCCATCTTATTATCAATAGAATTGACCCTGTAATAAGTTGATAGGTGGTCTTCAGATGCCACATCCTTAAATTCGCTGAATCTCCTGATTTTTGGCTTTTTCTTTTTCTTTACTAAAGATCTATTATTTTTCAATTTTGAGCTTGGTTTGTGAGATTTCTGTATTGGGTGCTCTGCTTTTAAAGGAGCTCCATAATCTATTATTAAAGCTTCATATCTTACTGTTCCCAATTTTATTTCCCAAATGTGCACTGAGGAACTTCCCTAAAGGAGGAAGCTGAGTGAGTTTCTCTCTACCTCTATTTTCCTTTAATGGCCGCAAGTTTTTCTGGGATGAATCTTCACCTTTCTTCTCTTCTTCACGAGCATTAGCACTGAAGAGTCTCTTCTTCAGACCTTTATGCTTCTTGATCCGGAATCCCTTGTGCTTAATCGAGTTATTAGGACTGTCTTTATGCTTGCTGTCAATCTTTGATGATGTCTTAGGTATTGAGATGCCATTAAAAACTAAATCTGATAAGACAGTTTCTTATTAGCTTGCTTACTTAGCTTTATTTTCCCTCCTGAAAGATTCTTGTCCATATTAAGCGAGTCTTGTGAAGAATCACTGTCCTTGCTGGATAAAATATTTGGTTCGAGTCCACTCTGACATTTGATTGGATTCTTTCTACAATTGTTAAACCAGTCCAGTAACTTGTGTAAACTTGGGTCAGATGGAATGTTTACCTTATTTCCTTGACGATTTCTTTCTTCAAGATCTTATCTCCTATCATTGAAATTGCATATGCTGTTCTTGTAACTAATTTCAGCTTTTCATAAGCTCTCATATTGAGTTGCATCTCTTCAAACAAGTTCAGTGGGACTTGCGCTTCAAAATTTCTGGTAATCCAAGGATGCTTTTGTGCTCTTTGAGAGCTGTACCTGAAGTTTGGATTAATGTCCAATAAATTCTCAAGTAATTTATGAGCCATTGGGGAGAACAAAGAGGCATCAATGGGGATTTTGTCGTTGTTTGTCAGATTCATCATTTTTGTTTTAAACTCTTCCACTTCCATCTCAAGATTGTTATAAAAATCAATTCCAAGAAAGGGATGGCCTCCTTTAGTAAGGAGTTCATACATTATAATCCCTGTAGCCCAGATGTCAACCTTCTTGCCATAAACTTGAGACTTCATTTGCTCAGGAGGTTGATACAACGGTGTCCCAACATTGTCATTATTTTGATCAAAGAATCCAATTCCATTTTCATTAGCAAATCCAAAATCGCAAATCTTTACTGAATCAAGGTTATTTCTTCTCAAAAACAGTACATTAGCAGGCTTGAGGTCTCGATGGAGCATCTCGAACCTATCATGAAGATCTGTGATACCTTCAAGGATATTTCTGACAATAATAGAGCACTCCTCATCATGTTTCTCAGGAGATTTGTCGTCAATCTTTTTCTGTTCCTGAATCCATTCCTGAAGAGTCCCTCCAGTGCAGAGTTCCATTCCTAGTAAGAGATAGTTTGAATATTCCTTGAAGAACTTGTAGCCAATAAGATTCTTTGGGGGTATAAATATCCTTGAGCTGTTCCTACTAGTCTTGCTTCCTCTTCTGTCAGATGACCTTGAGCTGCTTGGAGGGTATTCTTCATGAAAACTTTTTAAGGACTCAGCCTCTTTCCTGAACAGTTTCGCAATTATACACCAGAAGAATAGTCTAAATTGAGCATTTTAATAGCAATCTCTTCCCCTGTCTCCTTATCCAAAGCTGCTATGACAAAGCCAAAGCCTCCTATACCCACAGTGGCTCTATACTCAAAAAGTTCAGTGAAATGATCTCCTGAGCCGTCTTGATACTCAAAGAAGATCTGTTCAATCTCTGTCACTCCGAACATCTCCTGAACTTTTTCGCTATAATGAGGAAAGTTATTTTCCTGTTCGATCTTCTTGCATTTTTGAATGAACTCATAATATTCATCTGCTGGTATCTCTGACGGCTGTTCCACTCCAGATGAGCAATTTAGCGCTAAATTAGTTTAGGTCAACAAAGAGCAAGCTTCAAGATTAAATGCAGATGCTATGAACTTTCAAAATTATCTAAACCCAAAATGATATCAATCCTAATAATCCCTCTTAAAATCTATTTACTATTTCAAACTTCTACTTTCCCTTCAATCCTACATCCTCAGTCCTACTATCAAGTGCATAAGAACCTTATTTCCAACTCCTCCTTGAGCATGCTAGGCCTCTTCTCTAACCCCTACTCCCTTGCTTAACTAATTCTGTCAAATATTCTCCGAACAAAAATGGCTAATTAGGACTCATCCTGACTAAAGAAAGGAAATTCCAAAGCTAGCCTAAATATCAGGCCTTAACCCACCTATTTATACTTGGACATCTACAGCTAGCCAATAAAGCCTTGGAGACTAAACTCTTACATCAATGTTATATGCTCACACATTGGAGCTTATAAACACATTGAAGGCAGATTAGCACTCTGAGGTGAGCATCCTCACCTAACTTATAAACCAAAGGCATATTCCCAAGTTACTCCTTTTTTATTTAAATATTTTTAAACTAGAGCAGAATTTCATAAATTACTGGAAAATGTCATCTTTAATTACTAGGAATGCTACACCTTTGAATTCTCAAAGGCGAAATTATAGGACACATTCATATGTCCCATTGCATGGTCCTGATTGAATTTAAGAAATTATATGAAAATATTTTAGTATTTTTGGAATCATGTAAAATACTCAAATCCTACAAGCCTCTTCGCTCTCTATCCTGAAGGGTTTGGACACATAAATTTATCCGTATAATTTAGGATTATTGCTGGGTCTTCAAAAAATATCAGAAATTTTCAAAAATATTTACCACTATGGAATGAGCTGAGTTGCTTTGGGTCCAAAAAGTTCCTCTTGGTTGGCATCTATATGTTATTAATCACGAATTAATATTTATAAAAGCTTGTAGCGGAAGCTTTAAAGCCAGAAAAAATTCTGAAATTATTCTCATTTTCCAACTCAGCACACTTTGGTGTTAGGGAATCTTCAATCGATATTTTAAAAATTTTATGCTGATATTGAAATAATTGGGATAGCTATTGAGATGCAGGAATACTTCCTGACTATTTTATATGAGTTTATCCATAATTTTACTCAGAAAATGCCAAGTTGAAAAGGAAAATAATAGAGAAAGAACAAACTAAAGGGCAAGTTATATAGAAGAATCGTGTGAAAGCCCTTCATCATTCCTGCTAATTCAGTAAAGAGGTTATACAGAAGATATCTGGTAGGGAGATATAAACAAGCTATAGAACAGAACTCCAATATCATAGCTAGGATAGGAAATAAGATATGGTAGGTTTACCTTTTGTTCACTTGAATAAAAGTTCTTCATCTTTATCAAAAAATTATAAAATTAGGTAATCTTATTTCAGCCATACCACCAAACACTGGGGTTTTGGGGTTTTGGGGTTTTGGGGTTTTGGGG